TCTGCTCTTTACTGAATGTTTGGGACACAAAGATGCTACTACAGAATAGGGATAATACTTTATGTTAAATAAGTATAACTGGTGAGAGAGAGGCAGAAGACATATAAAAGGCAAGAAATGCAATTGAACAATAACTGAGATCAGTCTTTTGCATATTATGAATTAAGCTAAAATGCATGATAATGTAGCTGAGATTAAACACCCAGAATATTGTGGCGTGGTAAAAGAATTAACATAGAACAGAAGAGCAGCCTAAGCAAATTTTATAAAGTTACCATGATAACATCCTGGCCTGCCAAACCATTCAGTTACGTGATGTACCAAGAAAACAGCAGGACTTACCATATCCCACCTAGCCAAAAATCTGCAAAACATCCAGCGTGTACATGTGCAGGTGTATACACACACAAACACACACACACTCATGCACACATGCAAATATCATTTGGAGCAGAAAGAAAACATAAATATGGAAAGCAAGGGTCAGAACAGTGAGGTTGGTTTCACTCTCAACACTTCCTATCTATCCTTAGGTACATTGCTAAATTCTGTTCCCCAGTATTCGTATCTGTAAAATGGGGATAATATTAGAATCTGCCTCACAGGGTTATTGACTCAATGAGCTATTGCACAAAAAACTCCAAATATCTAGCACTGGCCTGTCCCAGCCTTGACTCAGTTTATTTTATTGCTATAGTTTGCTGTGTTCTAAACACCTGCCTTGCCTGACTTCCTCCTCTCTCTTCATCTCTCTCCCTCCGCCTCCCCCCCCTTCCCTCTCTCTCTCTCTCTGGATGTTTTGTACATAACTGCACAGGTAATCCATGTTCATTTTAGAAAAACATGAATATACATACAAAAAGGAAAAAAGTTAAAGACGATTCTGATTCCACTACCAAGAATAGCAACTGTTTTGCTAGGATCCTTCTGGTCTTTGTCTATGTAAATTCACTACATCTATGTAAGTATAAATGTTCATGTGCATGTATATATATCACCACCTATATATATCCTATATATATAGGATCATACTGTAATTCTGTCTAGTAAAATTCTTTTCTTGTTCAGCAATAATATCATGTCAGTAAATACAAAATATACATTATCACTTAAGATCACTCCATAGAAGTCTGTTTTAAGAAAATGCCATATTGTATTTAGACAATCCCCTGTTGCTGGAACTTGAGACAAAATCACATTCTCTCTGTTACAAACTGTTTAAATATCCTGTATCGACTTATTTGGACACATTGGCAAAGGGTCTTACCATGGCACAGGGCAAATTTTTCCTCAACAACAAAATATTGCTAGTGGTCTTATTCACAGGGCCTGCATTTGTGGGAGATAAATTATCCTTAGGATTCTGAAGAAGTCACAGATTTTAACATAACAGTACCTGTTTGAAGAACTTCATACTAGGCTTCCTTGACAGGCTAGTGGTTAAGAACCTGCCCGCCAAAGAAGGGGTCATAGGTTCAGTCCCCCCTGGCTTGGGAAGATCCCATATGCCTCAGAAAAACTAAGCCCAGGCATCACAACTAGTGAGCCCGCATGCTGCAACTGCTGATGCCTGCGTGCCTACAGCCTGTGCTTCCCAACAAGAGAAGCCACCACAATGAAAACTAGAGATCAGCCCCTGCTTGCCGAAACTAGAGAAAGCCCGGGTGCAGCAACAAAGACCCAGCAGAGCCAAAAATCAGTTAAGTAGTTAATTTTTAAAAAAGAACTTCATACAAACAAGACAGAGTAAAGTGAGCAAAAAAAAAACCAAACATAGTGTTAATAATATGCAGAATCCAGGTACTGGTGGTCATAGACATAGAAAATGACCCGGAAATTTTTTAGGAATATAGAAGGTCAAAGAACAATTAGAAAATAGGAAACTGGGAACAGACAATCGTAATTTCTAGTTTGCCTCTGCAATTTATTGTGCATCAGGCAGAGCCCTGCAGTGATCCATGATCACCTCCTTGCACACCTGAGTCATTTCAATGAGCCGTGTCAAGGGCCACATAAAGTGTTAAGTCAGGTTTGATGAAACATGTTCAGAATTCCCAAGGAGCAGAAACTGGGGGGGTGCAGGGGGGTCTTAGCCAATGAGGGAAGCTTGTCTGCGCACCTGTCACAAATTTATTGAGGACTTACTCTGTTCCATGGAGAAGGAAATGGCAACCCACTCCAGTATTCTTGCCTGGAAAATCCCATGGACGGAGGAGCCTGGTAGGCTACGGTCCATGGGGTTGCAGAGTCGGACACGACTGAGCGACTTCACTTTCACTGTGTTCCACCGAGTGGGGGCACAGAGAAAAACAGCCCAGCTTCCCAGATCTGCTTCCTGGGAAAATCTAAGCTACCAGGGGAGTCAGGTTACTGCTAGGTCAGCACTAGTGTTTAAGAATCTGGAGTTCTGAATGCCTTGTCACTTCAGTTTTTAAATATTTCACTGGCAGGACATCTGAACAAGAGTGGTGAGACCCTGATCCCCTCTCAGTATCACCCGGAGCAGTCATCCTCCCTTGCCGAGCCTCTGTAAAGTGGGGATAACCCTATCTCGTTTCTGCTCTCCACTTCACAGAAATATTGCCAGTATTTAGATAAGAAAACATTAATTACTAAGAGCTCTTTGAATTTCTTTGAAGCTGCTGAGATGTCTGAGGTAGCATGACAACACGTAGTGAGGTTAATACTGTTTGCACTTGATCGTTTTGGTATTTTTATTAAATTTTTATAGCACTGTGTTTATGTTCACAGACAAGCCAACTCCCCAGTATCTAAGTTTTAATATTTATTCAGGTCCACTTTTGAACTGAGGTGACTTCTTTCAGCATCTCAGCCATTTTTAAAGTGGAATGTCAGGGACTTCCTTGGTGGTCTAGTGCCTAAGACTCTACACTCCCAATGCAAGGGGCCAGGGTTTGATCCCTGGTCAGGGAACTTGATCCCCCATGCCACAACCAAAGGTTGTGCGTGCCACAACCAAGACCTGGCACAGCCAAATAAGTTTAATTAATTGATTTTAAAAGTGAGTTGTCACTGGAAAGGGGTAATTTAGGCATTTGGGGTCCTTTACTGTTTGCCTCAGGCAAACATTCAAGGAAAATTTGCTGCTTCCTTGAACAGAAAATTGCCTTCTGTCCTTCTGACCTTCCACCTCTTGAGGCTTCTGCTGGCCTATACACAGCTCTGGCCTCCGTTCTCTCACCCTCTTTGCAGCTCCCGTGTCTTCTGGGTCTGCCCTGGAGTATAGCCTTCCCTCTCTCCAGTCTCCCCTGTCACGGTCCCTTCCCTCCCACCAATGGTTTTGTAGGAATCACTGTGCTGGCCCCCTGGGGTAACTTTTCCGCAGCCCACAGCACTGCTGGCCCCTGAGAAGAGGCGGAAGAGAGCCAGCCAGCGTCTCTCTCACCTCACCTGACTCCTTCTCTGGACCCCTTGGCCTCTGTCATTGCTTGATGGGGTAGTGAGATGAGAAAGTACTTGGGCAGGTTTCCATGACAATCTGAAGCAAAGCAACCTGGCCTTGTTACCAATATGCACTGACACCAATACGTAAGCATGACTTTTCCTAGATGGATTACGGAAGACATCTCAGCAGACATTCAGCAATCCCCCAAGCGGGAGGACAGCCTTGTTCCTGTCATGCGGGAACGCCCATCTCTAGGCTTTCAACAAGCTGATGTTTTCCCCACCCTTTGGGGGATTGGTTCAGTCAAGATGGTAGCACAATTAAGATGTCAGAAAGTGAAGTCGCTCAGTCGTGTCTGACTCTTTGGGACCCCATGAACTGTAGCCCACCAGGCTCCTCTGTCCATGGGGTTTTCCAGGCAAGAGTACTGGAGTGGGTTGCCATTTCCTTCTCCAGGGGATCTTCCTGACCCAGGGATCGAGCCCGGGTCTCCCACGCTGTAGGCAGACGCTTCACCATCCGAGCCACCGGGAAAGTCTAAGATGTCAGAGACAGTCCTAAGTGGGAGATCCAGGCTCCTAAAATACAAGGGAAGGGGCATAATGGAGTTCATGGAGTAAAGGTGAGTCTCCTTCCCCAAGAGCACCCTCAGTGACTGACTAGGGCACACAAGACCCAGAAAAGCTCTTACACTCATGGTTACAGTGAATGACAACACAGGGATACCAATTAAAATCAACAGAGGCAGAAGGTGCTGGGACAAAGTCCAGGAGAAACTAGCCACGAGCTCCCAGATGTCCCTTCCCAGCAGGATCACACAGATGTCCCTATAGCAATAATTTATAACAACATGTGCAAGGTATTATCAGCCACGGATGCTCACGCGAACCTTGGTGTCCAGGGTGTTTATTAGGGTCAGTCACGTAAGATATGCAGTGCCCACGTGAAAGACCTCAGCTACTCAGACTCCAGCCCCTGGAGCAAAAATAGGTGTTCAGCATAAATGACACCGTTGGCATAAACTATCTGCTTACCCTGGCACCATGTGGCCCAAGGCCTCGGGCATACAAAAACACTCTTATCAGGCACATTATTACAAGGACTCAGAGCTCGTTTCTTAGGAGCCAATCTTAAAAAAACAGGTCTTGGAAACGTGTAGGATTTGAGCAATATGGGCACAACGTGGGCATGCTAAGTTAACCCTTTCCTGCACACATTCCCAGGGTCAAGACACAGGAAAGCTCTGGCACACTACAGCACTTCCTGCACCTCAATTACCTTTCAAAGATAACATTCTCTCTGCCTTCCCCATAGGGTCGCTGTGATTCATAACAATAATCATTGAACTCTTTTCAAAACCAGCAGGACATCTACAGCAAGGATGCTTTTATCATTATTACTATTATCATCATCACTACTATTGACGGGACAGGGCGGGCAATGAGCCCTTACTCCTTCCATGTGATCTCAGAACAGGTCAGAAGTGCCTTTTCCAGTTGCTGAAGACAAATATAACCTCAGAGCAGCATGTCTGCACCCCTCCCCTGGTGTTTAACCTTGTCCCTGCTTTTCTCTGTCTCCCTTCCCCCGGCAGTGGCTCAGAAACCCAGGTCCCCAGCATGAGAAGCGGACTCTGTTCGGAGACATGGTGTGCTTCTTGTTCATCACCCCACTGGCCACCATCTCGGGCTGGCTCTGCCTGCGGGGCGCTGTGGACCACCTGCACTTTAGCAGTCGGCTCGAAGCTGTCGGACTGATTGCACTCACTGTTGCACTCTTCACTATTTACCTCTTTTGGACACTAGTAAGTACGGCCCGGGGCCCGGGGATTGCGGCCGGTGGGAGCTGGCAGCACCCGGCTGGCATGGCTTTCCCACTTGTCTGGAGCTCATCTCACCTGCCTGGGAGCACATAGACCTTTAAGTGCTGAGAATAGTGATTCGGGGTGTGTATGTGCGTGTGTATGTGTACATGTATGTGCACTGCTGGGAAGAACAGAGGAAGCAAAGAAAAAGCCCCAGCTTCTGAGAGTTCATCAGTCAAAGGCATACACCCTGGGCATTCCTCCCCTCTCACAGCCAAGCACTCCTCTGTGAGCAGGCCTGGCATCTTCTTTCTCTTGTTCATGCTCCTCACTTTTGCGAGGATTATAGCATATGATGTACATGATGAATGACGTGCTTGGCCACTGTTGCTGTTGCTGCCCACACAGATCATGAATCCTCCTGCTGGTTATTTTCTCCTTTCATCCTGACAAGGCCTAAAGTCTTTGTTGGACGAGGAGATGCACTTCGCCTGCTGATTATTCTGGGTTGGGACATTGATTCTGCTGCCCATAAAACCACTAATTCATCTAGCTGAGAAGCTGCCACTAAAGAAAAACCATTTCCCAATAAGTGTTCCTGCTGGATAGAGAGAAGGAAAAAGACTTTAACCCTCTCTGGGTTTTTTTATTGTTCTAATTAACCTCGTGATTGCCTGGGTGCCAGCTGGCAGCGCCCACAAAGAGGGGGCAGCATTTGCTCTCTCTTGACGCTTCCCCGTGAGACCTGCAGGGAAGAATGTCATCGTCCTCTAGAAGGTTTTCAGACACCGGGCCCCCCTGCTTCCCGGCATGTGCCTGCTCATCTCTAATCTGAGCACGCTCCGCTGTTATTCAATATGTCTCTCCTGTCTAGGCTGTCCCATTCCCATCTCTGCAGCACAGTGTCGGCGTGTGAAGCTTACCTTCACACATGCTCCCTTCCCTCCATCCCAAGCCCTGTGCCACCAGCTGCCATCCCTACCACGCTGACCACAACCCCCGGCTCCCTGCACTTCCCTCCTGTCCCCCTTGTGCCTCCTCTCAGGTGAGAGGTCCAGATGCTAAGTGGGGGAATGCATTTCAGTCTCAGTAAAAGGGGCGTGACTTGAGCCTGGGTAAATAGGGAGTGTTTCGGTGCTTGGAACTTTATAGAAGTCTTCTGGTTAAGGGAAGCATTCATTTTCCCAGCCTAATAAAGCCCTCAACCAAAACTTTTATTGTCTCCTCTAAACATCTACGCTTCTAAACTGTGTCTTGATTCACTGTGAATCAAGCAATCAGGCTGACTCAGAAGCTGCAAGGACAGTTTTGTGGGAAGAGGATTAGAAACAAGAAACTAAATTGTCTGTCCACTACTGTCTAAGTCCTGCACCACCTTGGAAAAGTCAGTTCACTTCTCTGAGCCTCAATGTCCTCATCTGTAAAGTGGAGATGAGAGTCATACCCATCCTACCAGCTTCTTCTGGCCTTAGGAGATTGATGTGAAAGCGTATGTGGGAGAGCACTTTGGAAAACAATGAAGTGTAAGTTTTACCATGTTTAGAAGTTTGCTAGTCTCTCATTTTTCTTGTACAAGTTCCTAAGATGAAGGCTGAATGAAGATGTAGTCTTAAACACTGGACATTCAAATTAAGTTAAGGCCTTTTTGAAAATCTGCTTTGTCAAGCATACACTTACCTAACAGGAAAGAAAAAAAAAAAAAAAGACGAGGGAGTGAGCAAAAAGAAGGAAATTAAAAAAGAGATTAACTAGAGAAAAATGGATGTTATCCTGTTTCATCTCTCATCTCAGGTGAAAGGAAGGTTTGGGTGGGATNGAGCAAAAAGAAGGAAATTAAAAAAGAGATTAACTAGAGAAAAATGGATGTTATCCTGTTTCATCTCTCATCTCAGGTGAAAGGAAGGTTTGGGTGGGATAGTACCTGGAGTGGCTCTTTCAGAAGACTGATGACATACTTCACTCCAGAAATGCTGCCAAGAGGCAGTGCTAAGTGGTTAAGGAAAAAAAAAAAAAAAAGCACATGCCTTCAGAATCCAAAGGCTCTGTGTTTAAACCCAAGATTTAGCATCCGAATAGCTGTGTAACTTCAAACAGGGTCCCTAACCTCTCTGATCATCCCTCTCCTTATGCACAGACTTGACCCCTGGGTCAACTGTTGTGAGGATGAGGTGGGATAACTTCGGGAACATCCATCGGGGCACTCAGCAGAGGCATGGGTTCTCTTCCCCCAGCTGCTGGGCTCCCCCATCTCACACTGTGCCTCCCCCCTCCATAAAACGAAGAGCAACTGGAGGGAAAGACAGGCGTTTCTCACCCTTGATGTGAAAAACCCGCAGTGGCCACAGCTCAGCGATAGGTTACTGAATCTAGACTAACTCCTTCCCAGATAAATGCTGTACTGAGCAGGCCTGGCAAGAGCCGTAATTCAGAAGCTGACAGCACTTGGAAACTGCCCTCCAGCAGAAACCCATTGTAAACAAGCTGTCAGACTTAAGGAGAATATGCTGTGAAAATGTCTTAGATAAACAAACACGGTGTCAGTCCCAGACGGGCTCTCCCCAGAGGAACCTTCCCGGAAGGGCCTCGCTGGCGCTGTCAGAGGGACCCTCGCCCGAAGGTGCGTTTGGAGCTCGGCGCCTCCACGGGGGCCAGGCTTGACAGACTCAGGGAGTTCTGCCTTCTGGAATCCACTGCTCGGACACACAGGTGTCTGGCACCCAGGTGGCCAAGACCTCGGTCACCTCCACCCGGACAGCTGGAGGGAAGAGGTGCCCCAGAAACATCACTGTGCATGCCACAAACCATCTGAAGTCCGTGGACAGACACGAGTAGGTGAGAACTGAGTCCACGTAAAGAGTTCAGAAAGTGTCCACATAGATCTGCAGTAGCCAGCTGTAGCAGTACCCACGGGCAGTGACCACCGCCCCCCCAGGAGGTTCCGCCATCTACTGAGTCTCTGGCAACTGATTAAATCACCAGACGAAAGGAATGAATGAGCCAGCCCTTCTGGCTGACTCCCAGTCCCATGGGTCAATCATTTAAATTCTCTTTACAGAGGGGAAAGCTTGAAGAGAATGCTGTCCTGGCAAGGCTCACGGTGGGTTCAGACACACCCTGAGGGTGTCCAGCAAGACCCCGTGTGGCTGACTCAGTCCCCCGCCCTCTTGTCTTCCACAGGACCACCACAGATCAGAGGTCAGGCCCCATTCTGGGAAGACAACTTCCACAGCCCTGGCATCATCCATATGCTTCAGTCACACCATGAACTCCAAAGAGAAAGGGCAGAATCAAAATGCCTAATGAGATTTCCCAAATCATGCCATGACTTTACAGCAAACGTTCGGCCTCGGGCAGTCACCTCCCTTGGGGAGCTATTGTTGTTTAGTCTCTAAGTCCAGTCTGACTCTTTTGTGACCTCATGGACGCAACCCAACAGGCTCTTCTGTCCATAGGCTTTCCCAGGCAAGAATTCTGGAGCAGGTTGCCATTTCCTTCTCCAGGGGATCTTCTCGACCCAGGGATCAAACCCATGTCTCCTGCATTGGCAGGCTAATTCTTTACCGCTGAGTAACCAGGGGAGCCTCTCAGGGAGAAGTGATGCTAATACGTGCCAGCCCTCTGTGTGCGGCGCACGTGACTGCAACTCTGTACAGACCGTGCCCGTGGCTGGAGGTTAATAAATAGCCTTTGGATGAAAAAAGTGAAGACACTTCAAGAAACCATCCCATAAAGAGCAGTTTTTAGAACAGTGGCCCTGTGCACTTCTTTCCTCCTCTTTCTTTAAAACCTCAGAAATTTAATAAATATCTAAATGAAGTTCCCAGTGTTACTACTGCAATAGCTTCTTTTTACCTTTATGTTGTTTATTTTTTTCCCTCACCGCCTCTGTTTCTCTAAATCAACCCTGCCTTATTCTTCTTCTGTTCCACTTGAGGGGAGGGAGTGTCTTGGTGCTCTTAGAGCCCAGAGCCAGAACTACGCCGAGCAACTGCAGACCCATCATCCCTGTGCTCTGCGCCTACCTTCATGATCTCCGACGCAGCGTCATCTTCACATGATGCTTTCTTATTGATTGAATTCGCCTGCAGACCGTGGTGGTGAACAGCAATTAAGATAGATGAATGCGTAGTAAGGTCTCATTTGTTTGCCTGAACAAGTGGGTCTTATTTTTGTACTTCCCAGCCAAGGAACTGGGAGACCTGCTAAGTCATGGACTCCCTGCGTTCCTTGAAGCAGTGCTTCTCAGGCTTGAATGTACATGTGAATCACCTGGGGATCTTGTTAAAATGCACGCTCTGATTCCCTATGTCTGGGTGGAGCCCACAATTGTTATCTTCTAACAAGCTCCCAGGTGGTGCATCCTTCATGGTCACACTGAGAGCAAGGCTTTAGAGGAAATAGCCCAACCTCTCTTTTTTTTTCCCCCACCTTCCTGTATCTAAGAAGGAGTGTTGCAAAATTATCTTCTTTTCAGATTTAACCCGCCAGAAATAACAGGCCAAGAACACTAACATGTGGCAATGGTACTGTGCAGCGGGCTTTTCATGCATTATCTCTGATATCATTATTCACATTTTACAAACGAGGCATCCCACGGGCGGCTGCGCCTGCGCTTACTGAGCATGCGCAGTTCATGACCATCCCGACGGAGGGCCTCGATTTCAAGTCCAGATTTCCTGTAATATTTCCAGATTCCAGATTTCTTGTACTGCCCCAGCTGTTCACTAGTACTCGTCTGTTTCCTACCCCTTCCCTGCCCTTGGTCCTGATCAGCACGTTTTCCAGCCTGCCTCTTACATTCATGAGTAGCACCAGGCAGTGGCAGGACAGAACAGATACAAGAGAATCAAGCTTTAAAAAGAAACAAAACAGAACAAAACCTCTGATCCACTCTGGCATGTTCAGAGACTTTTGGAGAAAAGCACATCTGTGTGAGTTTAAAAGCTTATATTTTCATACTGAAATCTCTCTGGCATTCTGTCTGTGGTATTTGCTTTCTACCCTAAGAAATTTGAGTGAGTGGCCCTGGATTTCATGATCCTTCCATGAAGACAAACAAGCCCTTTCTGATCAAGAGCCTGCATTCTCTTCCAGAAACACTGAGCTCAAACCATAGGGTCAGTCCACTTTGGCCAACGGGGACCGTGTACTAGGGTCAGCATGACTCACCTACCCCAGGTGGTTAATACAGTCTGTACCATGAATAATTTGTCATCCTTAGGTCATGGGCGCCTTCTTCCCCAGCACTTACCTAGACATCTGGATATACTCAAACTAGAACCTATACTTCCACTTTTAAAGGCAGTTTATACATCTTCAGAAGAATTGATTCTTTGAATTTCCTGGGCAAATTGATAAACACTTTTCTCCAGTCTTCTTCAAAGCAAAGCCATAGAAGCAAGCAAGCACCTCATTCGAGTACATTTACTCAAGAAGCAAGCACTTTGGGGGCACAGTTATGTCACAGCTGATGATGCGTTTACTGCTCGTCCTGTGCTGTATTGTGTAAGAGAGGCCCAAGTCTAAAAGCAGTGGTGCGTTTAGGAGGTAAGGATATTTATTCACTCATCCATTCACTCAGTGAACTTAACTGAGCAGCTTCCTAAGTGCCAGGCACTGTGACAGGTGCAGAGCATGCGAAGATGAATACAACAGAAGCCCCTGCCCTCAGCAAGATGCTTCTAGTGCAGGAAGAGGGAGAAACAAGGGCAGTGGTGTACAGGGCGCTGATGCCATGCTGAGGTGGGTGCAGGTGCTGGCTCAGGAAAAACTCATCGGGGGAGCTTGTGCCCATGCTGAAGCTTCTCCACTGGGAGCCGTGGAGCTGGGGGCAGTGGGGATCACTCACGGGCTGCCAAGTACAGTGGTGCAGATTGTCCATGTCACAGTACAAAGGGTGCCCTTCTTGTCATACCGTGAATGGGGTCCTTTGAGTTGTGCAATATCCAACCTACAGAAGGGTGTGTGAAGCCCTGGCATCCCTCTCGTTTAACAGAGAGAAACTCAATGACCAAAAGGGCATGCTGCCTAGTCCCACAGCTGCGTGAAGACTGGTGCTGTACCACTCTGCCCACAGCCCCCAACCAGCTTTCTTCTCCTTTGGGGTCCAAACCACTACTCCGAAAATAAGCCCAGACTCAGGAGGAACGTCATTTCCTATTAATACTATAATTTGACCCAGTGTGAAGAGGCATGAGGGGAGCCCTGCCCCTGTGTTCAGGGCACGAGTGCCCTTCAGTTGAACCTCAGACTCAGCATGCATCTACCTGTGACAGCAGTTTTGCCCCAGGCTCTTGCCTGGCTGTACTGATGTTTGGAACTGTTTTAAATGGCACATAGGTTGTTTGAATTGATAACCAGCTTCCATTACCTGAAATCTTCTCTTGTCTTTCCTCTCCCCACCCCAGGTGTCGTTTAGGTACCACTGTCGATTGTACAATGAATGGCGTCGGACCAATCAGAGGGTGATTCTCCTCATTCCAAAATCTGTCAACATCCCTTCCAACCAGCAGTCCTTGCTGGGCCTCCACTCTGTCAAGAGGAACTCAAAGGAGACAATTGTTTGATGTTTGTGTTGTTTGGTTGGTTGGTTGATTTGTTGTTTGGGGTTTGGAAGTTTCTGCACTGGGGCCATGCACTGAGCCACTCCCAAACCCTTCCTCAAGCCTGTGGGTCGAAGAACATCCAGAGCCATGCAATCACATGGCCCTGACCAACGGACTCCGCCCGAAGAAAGCAAATGCTCTTTGACTTCAAATCATGGATGCTGCAATCATATGATATTTGCTAAGCTGCCAAACATGTTTATTTAGCAGATACTATATGGAATTTTCTGAACACCTCTTTCACATGTGAGGAAGGTTGTCCTGCTAAGGATGCAATTCAATTCTTCCTTTTTTTATTACTATTTCAAATATAAATATATATATATATATATATTAAACTTAGATGATAATCAAAATTGAAAAGCCAATGTTAAAACTGGTTTCCTGGTTTAAATGGGTTTTGTTTGGGTTCATTGGTTTGGTTCCCAGTTTTTACTGTAGATTATTTGGGGTAATTTGATAGCTTGACTGGTCTTTTCCATCTCTTCCAAGTCCCTTACTCAAGGGGACAGCATAACTGCAGGACAAATCATATTTGAAGGATGTTTTGTACTAAAATCCATTTAATTATTCAGTTTTTAAAGAAAAAAAAAGGCGTGACAACTCTCCCCACAGTGAACTGTTTATTTAAACTTCATTAAGGAGAAAAACAATTTATGGTGAGAAGCACGCTCCTTTCAACTTGTTTGGTACTGACAGCTGATAGAAGCTATTTTCTAATAATAAATACCCAGTGTGTGAAAGACAAACCCCACTGATGGCTATACTATTTTTTTTTTTTAATCATAAAACCTGTGAGGTTTCCCAAAGTCGATTTGAAAAAGGAAAGATAAAAAGAAGGGAAAGCAAAAAGGTTGGTGTTCTTACTCCCGTTTCACTTAGCGCAGGTCTTAATTCTGCATTCACAATGAATTGGAGGATCATTAGACATTTCTAGGAACTCTGGACCTGTTTTGCATATCAATTAGCACTCCCATTGCTCTGCTGAATTTCTAGCTTGACAGGTAGATATAGCAAAAAAAAAAAAAAAGCCTGTCCGAGCAGTCTAAGACCCCTTTGTCTGATTTTCGAAAAAGAGCCCCATGCAGTGCCTTCCCCCAACCATGAGCCAATTCTGTCACAGGCTGAAATAGGCTTCCTCTATGGACTCCCTCTTTTATCCATCACAATGTAAAAGGTCTAGACTTCCCCTGCATTTGGGTGTCCACCGAAGCCAGGGAGCAGATGTGCGTCCAGGGAAAGGCACTTGCTCACAGTGGCACTCAGGCTCCCATCCGCCCACTCACCCACATGCCCTGAAGAGAAGGTGGAGCCCAGCCTTGGGGGAATGCTTAAAATATGGATTTCTAGAACATGACCCACATTGTGACTATCAACTTCAGCGTCTGCCTTGTGCTCCAGGAAATGCAAAGGAGCAGGCAGTGAGGAGGGTAACAATTTTGCCTGCAGACTGATCAGGCCATGCAGGTGTCGCCTTTGTCTGCCAAGCCCTCTGTTCACAGGCCGCTCCCTTGCTGCCTGGGGAGGGAAACAGCTGTACTGCTTTCCGCTGCAAAACTCAGATGTGCTTTATGGCTTGTGACAATAGATTTCCTCCCCACCACGCTTCACTTCGACACTTCAATTCCAGTAATATACGTCTCAGTCCTTCTGTTTACTCGGCCCTGCTCACTCCCTTGGGCTGTCATGAGCTGCACCGCCATCAGCCGTTTCTTAATTGACCTTTTTAAAATGCTGGACACCACTGGCTGCACGCAGCTGTCACACATTAAATTTCCAGAGCCAAGAGTCCAACTTGGTAGCTTGCAAACTGCATCCCTGTACTACCGTTGATAAACGACGTCCACCCAGCCTGGGTCCCCAAGCTGACAGGTGACCCAGTGACACCTCCCAACGGAGTGGCACAGACGCTCCTGAGAGGGACTTGTCCTTCCTGTGTTTTCCATGAATTAAGGAAGAAGCAGCAGATTCCTGGGATTGTTTCCTGTTGAGGTTGATTGCAGAAAATTCCTGCTGTCTTGGTTCATGAGACATAATGAAGCCAAATAGCAAAGGCAGGCAGGTTCCGGCATCTCGCCGGGGCTTCCGGACCGGGGAAGGTTGGCAAGGTGGTACTGTGGCTGGGCCACGCCCCTTCTCTATATGGGCATCTCCACCCTGGGAAATTAGAGTTCACATGTGAGGAGTGGGCTGCATGTGGGGTGGTGGCCAGGACACCTTACCAGCTGAGAGAGGCATCTGTGCCTCCCTGCCCAGTCTCCGCCTGTGAGACTGATCTCCCTCAGCACCAGGGCCCGTCTGGAATTCTGAAAGTTCTTGGAAGACACTTCATCCCCTCTTGGCCCTTTAACCCGTGGTCCTTCGAGGCAGGAGAGTCCAGGGAACTGCAATATGAGCACACGACGTCGGCCAAGAGGACAGAGGCAGTGGGAGCTTTGGTCCAGGCTCCATCTGTCACCAAGCCCTGCTGCATCTTCTAAAGCTGAGGGTACTCCTAACTGGAACAAAGGTGCTGCCTGGGTTACCGGTGGCCCTGCCAGCCTTGTACTGCACTCTCTCTCTCTCTCTCTCTGCTTCTTTCTTTTTGAAACAGGAAAAGGCAGAGGCGAGCAGGTAAAGGATCCTGCTGGCTCACTGCTTCCCTCCTCCGACCCCTTACACAGTCCTCTCTCGGCACCCCTTGCTGTATCCTCTCCTTGAGAATCTTAGAGAAAAATGTGTGTCACAGCGATGCCAGAGGGGAAAGGAACAGCTGAACAAGTCCAGGGCGCTCTCGCCATCCCCGTGTGTCGTCACCAGCTTCTCCTCTGGGGAAGGACAGGAACCCAGAGCATGCACCCGAATCCTCCAGCTCCTCGGAGCACTGAGCAGGAGCTCAGGTGAGCTGTAAAACCCAATTAAGGAGACATAAGCAGCTTGGCTTAGAAGTTGCCTGTAATTGTCTTCCATGTACAGGTCTTCCTCCCTGGACCCCCAGTGCCACGGTGGCTGCTTGCACGCGGCTGGGCTAGTAATTCATCTGAGGATGCCGAAAAGCCAAAGAATATGGAAGTGAATGGGCAGCCCAGCTCCCTGCACTGGGGCCCCAGGCAGCTGGGGACTCCCTCCCCTCAGACTTCTCTTGGCCCTGCCTGGGTCTGCCTAGCCCCAAAGCTCCATGCAGCTCACAGAAAGGCCTGGCGTGCATGAAACCTCTGTCTTCATCCTGTCCTCCCAGGAAGAGTCCCCAGGCTGGAAGACCCTAAGGAGGAAGGGGAGGGAATAGGCACGTGTTCCCACTCCACTTTCATCCAGTGTCTTCCCAGAAGCTCCCGGCAGACCAGCCATAGGGTGGGCAGAGCTCAGGCTGGAACAGATTTACAGGTTATGATTCTGAAGCCTTAAGTGGGATGGGAAGTGGGCCAGTGGGTGGGGACAGGGTCCAGGATTATTTTAGGTTGAGATGTTGGGACCAGGACAGACCTGGCTGGACACCATCCCTCCCAGCCAAGCACCTGCAGGATCTTGCAGGCTGCCCGCCAGAGGCTTCATGCCACGAAGGCTGCAGTCATGAGAAATCAGCTCTAGGTAATGATAACCCGGGAAACTTCAGACCCTCTCCAAAATGTGTCATTTCTATTAGGTCCCACGATCTACCTTTTCTGACTTTATGAGTCTTTGTGTCGAGGAGCTGGCTTTGGGCCACTCTGCCTTCCCCTCACTATTGAGCTGCCCTCGGGTGAGCCTGACTCTTGGCTTCTTGGTGGGACAGAGCGGGAGAGGACCAGCTATGAGTCTGTCTCCCTGGGTTGGCAGTGTACCAGCGGTGGGCTGTGGGCAAGGCTCCCCCCTATGGAGGCCTCAGTTTCTGCATATAAAATGGGGATAACACCTACCTCAGACAGTCCTTATAGGATTTTTTTTAAGGTGCCCAGTAGGCAGCTCATGAATGAGCATCAGCACCCTTCCTTCCCCTTCCTTCTATTCGCTGTTGCTAACGTCTGGCTGATTGCCTGGGTTTTAACAATTTTGATCAATAAAGAGAACCATAAAGAAGTTTGAAGAACCATAAAGAATTTTAAATCCTTTTCAAAAAGATGAGGGATTAAAAAAAAAAAGACGAGGGATTAATTTTAAATAATCAACACATATTTATCCAGCACACTGTGCTTGGGAGTAGAAAGAACTGTGAGAGATCCTCCTGGAAGTTGAAATGACTGACTTGATTGAGATCTCTGAATCACACATGGATTTCAATTATCTTGGCATTTCCTGATACTGGAGCCTATGGCTAATTAAGAATTCATCACAGATGAAAAATGTGCCAGTTCTGGATCTCGCGCTACAGAGGAAAACAAATATAGTCCATCAGTTGTCTGTGTTCCCAGAAATGAGGGACTCGTGAGTCACTGAGCTCATACATCTAGTGCCTTCTTAGAGGTTCTGAATTCCATGCACAAAGACAGCAAAAGAAGATGGCTCAGGAAGTTTTACTTCCTTCTGAAAAATGCTTTTTTGTCTTTTTTGGATACACTTTGCACCTACTGGGCCATAGTTACCCATCAAGGAAATGATGATGGACCTATAAGAGGCTTTATTTTATCTCATTTGTGGGCGCCAGGTACAAAGAATTGTGTTATTCATATATTTTAGTCCATGACACAGTTTCTGTCACCATAAGCCAACATAGGTCCCTATTCTATTTTATTCCACAAGTGTGTACATAGTGTCAAGCACTTCCCACAAGCCATGCACTGTTCAGCGCTTTGAAGATTACCTCCTTTAATCCTTACAACGACCTCATCCATTGTTACCTAACAAACCACCCTCTAATTTAGTGATCTCAACCTCATGCGTTTTGTACTGTGGGTCATCTTATTTACATTTTAGAAGTCCTTTCTCTTTCTAAAATCACAAAGATACTCTCCCACATTTTCCTCCTTTATCTTTCTGGTTTTATGGATCACCTTCAGGTGTTCCATTGATCTAGAGTTCCTCTGTATTTGGTATAAGGATCCAACTTTATCTCCCTGAGGTAGGTGGTTTGCCATCACCATCTTCTAAACAGTCTCCCTTTCTTCATTCACTGGTGTCACCTGGATGGTGTATCCTCTTCCACATAAACATTATCTGGTTTCGCATACTCAGTTTACGACTTTAACCCGTTTGTCTGTTCCCTTGTTACCTCATTGTTTTTCTTACTAATGGCTTCATAATGTGCCTCATTATCTAATGGAATGAGCAGTTCCTCCCCAGTCCCCCACCAACCTCACTCTATTTTTCAAAACTGACTTAGTTACTTGGGAACAGGCTTTTTATTCTTGTGTATACATTTTAGAATAATTTTGGTAAGTCATTTTAAAAGTCTTGATGGACTTGTGATCAGAACTGTAGTGAATTGACACAACGATTTCATGAAAATTACAATCTTTACAAATCTTTACAGTTTTTAGCCAATCTCATATGATAATCATAACGTAACACCATTTATTCAGCCATTCTTTCCATCCTGAAAATAGAGGTCTAAATGTTGTCAGTAAATTCTTGTGTGTCCTTTGTTAAATGTCTAAATAGTTTACAGTTGTGTCGCCATGGTACAATAAGTGATGTCTGACTTTCTGTTCTAATTTTTCACTGGTTACCCTCTCACTTGCACCTTTTATGACCTCTGCATGCGTTCTCACAGTTTCTGGATCCCCTTCCAAGCCAGCTCACTCCTGCCCTAGTGGGCCACCAGGCCCTTCCCGGAGCCCTGGGTTGCTGCAGGGGACAGGG